TTGATCAGTAATGTTTACCTAATAAAAATATATATAATGCTGGGGCTGACAACTGAAGAATTTGCATTCTTTTCAAACAAATATGAACGGTTACAAACACTGGCCATATGCGGAGTCGCAACGTAAGTTTCAACAAATTTCAAAGGATTGCATTTGTATAGAATGTTGTCTATCCATAGTGGAATGAAGATAGAAATTAAAACCGAAGAAATCAAGAAATATGCTCCTATATAAATTATATATAAATTATGATCAAGCAGAAAGAGATTGAGATACTAGAAATCCTTTTGAATTTACTGTTAACAAAATAGTTACTGGTCGAGCAAAACAGGAAATTCCATAACATTAGAAAAGACAAAAACTACATGAGTAAGCATGTACCTCAAGAAGTTTAAAAAAAAAATAAGGCACATGATCTAAAGAGCAGATAATAAAAGATAGATTTGAGAATGGAAATTGACATATCAGCCATCTTAGAAGGGGAAAAAAATCCAAGTTTGTTCCTTGAAAAAAATTTATAAACTTTGGAGAGACTGATTAAGAAATAAGAGTATACAGCTACTCAATGTTAAAGGAATTTCTAGTGGGAAAGGAAATGCCATCATAGCAGGCTAGGTAATACGCCCCAAAGATAGCAGGTCTTAATCCCTGGAACTTGTAAATGTTACCTTATTTGGAAAAAGGGTTTGTACAGATGTGATTAAGTTAAGGATCTTGAGATGGGGAGATTATACTAGATTATCCTGGTGGGTCCTAAATGCCATCACAAATATCTTTATAAGGGAGAGGTAGAAGGAGATAACCTACTAAGAGAGAAGGCCATGTGAAGATGGACCAGAAAGAGATTTGATGATTGGACTAATATGGCCACGAGGCAAGGTGTGTTAGCAGCCCCCCATAACTGGAAGAGGCAAAGAATGGATGATCCTCTAAGGTTTCTGGAAGGAACGCAGCCCTATTGACACCTTGATTTGGGGACCAGTGAAGCTGATTTCAGACTTTTGGCCTGAGAATAAATGTCTGTTGTTAAGCCAGCAAGTTTGTGGCAATTTGTTAGAGTAGCCACAGGAAATTAATACAGCCTCTCTCCTCTAGACTTTCAAGTCACTAAAACATTAATAAGGGAAAACTGTGTGCAACTTTATGCCAATAAATTAAAAAAACAGATGAAATGTATACTTTCCTATGAAAGTGCAAACTAACAAACAAGATCCAAGATGAGATTTAAAAATTTGAATGGTGCTATAATTGTTTGATCTAGGGAAAATGCCAGGCCCTTATGGTTTCACTGGCAGAGTCTCCCATGAGTTTAACAAAGAAAGAACACCATAAATCAGATCGATTTTCATACAAATTGTCCCAGAGAAAATAAAAAAGTTACAATTATTCCAGCTTATTTTATGATAACCTTTATATCATAACATGAGAATTATATTATGAAAAAAGAAAGTTTTAGACTTCCTTGTTCATAAACAGAGATGGAAAAATATATAAACAAAATATAACCAAACCAAATCCAACAATACTTAGATTGATCTACTATGATCAAGTTAAGTTTATTTTCTTGATTTATTTATTTTAGTGTTTATTTTTATTTTTGAGAGAGAGACAGAGCACAAGTTGGGGAGAGGCAGAGAGAGAGGGAGGCACAGAATCTGATGGAGGCTCTAGGCTCAGAGCTGTCAGCATAGAGCATGATGCGGGGCTTGAACTCATTAACTGCGAGATCATTAACCCTGAGATCATGACCTGAGCTGAAGTTGGAGGCTTAACTGACTGAGCCACCCAGGTGTCCCAAATTAAGTTTATTTTAGGGATACAAAATCAGTTTTACAGGAAAATAGCAACCAATTTATATTACCACATCACTAGAAGAGAGGAGAAAAATCACAGAATATCTCAGTAGATGTAAGAATAGATATTAGATAAGATGCAAAGTCCATGCATTATAAAACCTCTTAGCAATAAGTGGAAAAGAAGGAAACATCCTTAATGTCTATTAAAGGCTATCTAGAAGAAACCTACATCAAAATCAAGGCTGAAAGTTGAACCCTATTTCTTTGAGATAGGCAATAAGCAAAGTTCTTATTCACCGGTTTTATTCAACAAGGAATGATGGACGTTACCAGTGCAACCAAAGACAACAAGTTAAAGATATAAGGATTGAGAAGGAAGAACTAAAATAGTAGGTAGTAGGTAGGTATGAAAGATATGTTTGGGTATGTGAAAATTATAAATTATTGGATAATAATTTACCTAATATTTATCTAACAGATAATTATTAGAATTAATAGGTAAGTTTATGCAGGTTCATAAATGCAAAATAAATATACAAAGTCAATTTTAATTTTATATTTTAGCAAAAAACAACATAAAAATTTAAAAACTATAGACAGATATCCTTTACAAAAGTAGCAAAATGATTCATATACTTATAATGTGTATGCTATAAAAACTGTTTCATTTTTTTAAAGCTTTATTTACTTTTGAGAGAGAGAGCCTAAGCGGGGGAAGCAGCAGAGAGCAAGGGGAACAGAGAATCGCCAAGAAGTCTCTGCACTGATAGCAGCAGCCTGTCATGTGGGACTCGAACCATGAGATCATGACTTGAGCCGAAGTCAGACACTCAACCAACTAAGCCACCCAGGTGCCCCAAGAACTGTTTTAAAGATGCTGTTTTATTAAAAGCATAAAAAAGCTCAAGAAAAATAAAAAATGAGGCTTATAACATACTCTTGAATTGGAAGTCTCATTGTAACACAGATTTTTCTACATATTGATCTATAGAATCAATACCATCTCAATGAAAATTTTAAAAAAATTTAAGCATTTACTTATTACTGAGAGAGAGAGTGACAGAGCTCAAGTGGGGGCGGAGCAGAGAAAGAAAGAGACACAGAATCTGAATCAGGTTGTCAGCACAGAGCCGGATGTGGGACTCAAACTCACAAACGTGATCGCAAGATCATGACCTGAATCGAACTCAGACGTTTAACAGACTGAGCCACGTAGGTGCCCCATCAATGAAATTTTTTGAAGAGTTTACTGTTTATTTCTTTTTGAGAGAGAGAGCATGCGTGGGGGAAGGTCAGAGAGAGAGGGAGACAGAGGACCCACAGTGGGCTCTGCCCCCACTGGAAACCTCACACCCAAGAACATGACCTGAGCTAAAGTTGGACGGTCAACCAACTGAGCCACCAAAGCATCCCTCAATAAAATGTTTAATGAGTGTGTGTGTGCATATGAACATAAATTAGCAAGATGATGCTATATTTTCTATAGAAATGCTAAAAGACAAGATACTTAGAAAAAATACAATAGTGGAGTAGAATTGCTCTGTCAATGATCAAGTCTTATAAGTATTTTAGGAAGTAATTAAGAATGTGCAGGATTGGCACAAAGATTGACGAATGAATGAATAGAAGAGGGGACCCAGAAACAGACCCATATGTATCAAAGGGGACACCGTAGAGCTATAGACAAAGGTCAGTCTTCTTAATAAAAGATATTTACACAACTGGATGTCCATATAGGAAAACAAAAAGATAGGAAACTTGATCTCCACTTTATATCATGCACACAAATCAGTTCCAGAAAATTTGAAGACTTAAAAGAGAAAGGTAGAACGATAATAATTTTTGGAAGATAGTATTTGGAAGTGTCTTCATAACCTCAAAGAAGCAAAACATTTAAAAAATACAGCACTAAAAGCACGAGTTATAGAAAAAGATTGATAATTTGGATCATATTAAAAGTAAGAACATCTTCATCAAAAGGTAGCATTCTGAGAATGAAGATGCAAGCCACAGAACTGTAGGTTATTGGCTACACATATAACTCACAAATGCTTCTTACCTACAAAATATTTAAAAAAAAAACAAAAAAAACACCTACAAATCAGTAAGTACAGATCACCAAAAATGTGGATTGAGGCAATTAACTGGAACAGAACCTTCATAAAAGGATATCCAAATGGCTAGTAAAAGTATTTAAAAAGTACTTGATATTACCAGTCATCAGGGAAATGAAAATGAAAGCCATTATAAAATACTACTGCGTAGCATGAAAATGACTAAAACTTAAAAGTATGCAATAACATTCAGATGTTTAGAACTTTCCCCCAATTTGTTAGTGGGAAAGTATATTGGTTCAACCACTTCAGAAAATAGCTTAGGAGTAACTAAGTTGAATATATTCTGGCTTTATGATATAGCAATACTCCTTAGAGTATAGTAACAAATGCATGTACATATAAGCCAGGTGGTGTGGCAAATGTACATTTACAGAAGCATCATTTGTACTAGCAAAAATTATCTAACTCAAACGTCCATCATTTGGAAAAATAAACAGTAGTATACAGTGCTGAAGATAAACAAACTACCATTAATCACAATATGGATGAATTTCTCAAAAGTAATGTTGATTGAAGGGCACCTGGGTGGCTCAGTTGGTTAAGTGTCCAACTCTTGATTTCAGCTCAGGTCACAATCTCACAGTTCGTGGGTTCATGGGTTCATGAGTTCCAGCCAGCTTCGGGCTCGGTGCGACACAGAGCCTACCTGGGATTCTCTCCTTCTCTCTCTCTCTGCCCCTCCCCCACTCCTTCTCTCCCTCTCTCTTTCTCAAAAAATAAACATTAGACAAAAAAGTAATTCTAGGGACGCTTGGGTGGCTCAGTCGGTTAAGCATCCGACTTCGGCTCAGGTCATGATCTCACCATTCGTGGGTTCGAGCCCCGTGTCCGGCTCTGTGGTGACAGCCAGCTCAGAGCCTGGAATCTGCTTCAGATTCTGTATCTCCCTCTCTCTCTGACCCTCACCCCCACCCCCCGCTGCTCATGCTGTCTCTCTCTCTCTCAGAAATAAATAAAACATCAAAAAAATTTTTAAAAAGTAATTCTGACTGAAAGAACCCAGTCCCAAAATTCTATATAGTGTATAATTCAATTTATATAAATGTCACAAGCAGACAAATTTCTACTATGCTGTTTAGAGATGTACCATTAGAAGAAAAAGTAGATCATTGTAATCTGTTTTAAGGACAGGGCATCGATGTGTTGTTTTTGAAATTCACAATGTTTTCATTCTTTAGCCAGCTGATACTTTTGTGGGCATTAACTTGATGAGAATTCTTTAAGGAATATCTATGCTTCATGTCCTTCCTATGTTTAAAAATATTTTATGAGAAATTTCTAAAAGAAAAAGAGAATGATCAATTAAGATAGAGATAATGTTACATATATATTTACTATCACAAAGATAATTATCTTCATGATGATATAGGCTCAACATATAAAGTCTTAACTGACAAAGATACAAATAAATCAATAATTATAAGTGGAGATTTTAACACATACCTCTAAGAAACTCTAATATCAAACATAAATTAATAGACAAAACATAAATTAATAGACAAGAATAAACAGTGATGAAGTATTAAATAACATCAATAATGTGCTAAAATGAAAATTTTACCTACCACTCAGAGTATTCACATTCTTTCTGAACACAAGTGAATGTTCTCAGAGACTAGATCCTAACTTAGCTGCAGAGCAATCTGGTAAATTCCATGTTTCAACTTCATATAGACTGTATTCTCTGTTAGCAACAAAATATAATTAGAAATCAATAACAGGACATATTTTAAAAATATTTTAAAACACATTCTGGAAAATATATATACAAACATAGCATGCTGGTAAAAAGCCCTCAATTAGAGAGAAAAATAATGAGAAAAATTGTAGAATACTTAGAACTGAATGCCAGCAAAACACTGCATATCGCATTTTGTGGAATAAGTAGTATTTAGTGGAAAATGGGTAGCTTGAAAACGGTCATTAAAAAATTAAAAATTGAAAAGATTATCAAAGCATTTATGGTATATTGAATTATGGCTTCTATTTCTTTATTCCTGCTTTTATCTACATCCCTTGCCATATATATTTGAAGTTTCTTCCACAAAATTGCACAGCATATTGCCCTGTTCTTTGACTTTGGACTCGGCTACATACTTCACTTCAGCCAATGGGAGGTGAATAGATATGAGACAAGTAAAAGCTTGAAATGTGCTTATGCCTTGGGACTTGCTTTCTTGTGCCCTCTGTGACCATCATGGTAACAGCAAATTCTGAACTAGTTTGCTGGCCCCTCAGCCCAGACCCCAGAGTGAGATAGGAGGGGCAGGCCTGAGCCAGCCAGAGCCACAGGTCAAAGGAGAGCCACTCAGTCAAGCCCTATCTAGGCAGCCCAACCAACTCCAAGAAATAAGTACCTGTTTTATCTCACATTGGGGTTTCACAACAGTGTGGTTGTTACACAACAAAAACTGATGGGTAGAAAAATCAGTACCTAGAAATGGAGCTGCTGCCATAATGAAAACCTAAAATATGTGTGAGTAGCTTCAGGACAAAGGCAGAAAAAAACTTTCATAGAAAGCTGAAAAATGTTATTGAAGGTTGAAAAATGGCAATTCATGTTATATACTGGCAACCCATTTGTAAAAGTTTTGCCTTCAGTAACTTGGAAGAAAGAAAATGAATCTAACAGATTTATGGGTTTGGGAAGGATTGTTTTTATCGTCAGAATCCTAAAAGCGTGAGTTGACTGCTCTTAACTGCCTGTAATAAGGCGCAATGAGAAAGAGAGGGATTCAGAAATAAACCAATCAGTTTGCAGTCTACTTTTAGAGGGAATGTAGATAATTTCTGTAGAAAATCCAGGTCTGTAAACAAATGATTACAACTAACAAGGACGTTCAGCAAATTCCCAAGTATTAGATCCATATGCAAAATGCAGTAACATTCTTTTATTCAAAAACAAACAACTCACTAATACAATAGAAAAGAAGTTGTTGTAATCGGCAATAGCTATAAATCCATAAAACATCCAGGATTTGATTTAAAAAAAAAAAAAAAAAAAGCCTTTGGGGAGGCTGAGTAGTTCAGTCAGTTAAGTGTCCAGCTCTTGATTTTGGCTCAGGTTAGGTCAGGGCTCATGGGTTCGAGCCCCACTTCTGTCTGACTCTCACAGCACAGAGCCTGCTTGGCATTCTCTCTCTCCCTCTCTCTTTGCCCTTCCTTCTCTCTCACACACATACACTCTCTCTCTCAAAATAAACAATCTTCAAAAAAAAAAAAAGTCCATAAGGCTTTAAGTAGGTAATTTAAAAATCTCTCTACTAAAGAAATGAAAGAGGGGCACCTGGGTGGCTTAGTCGGTTAAGCGTCCAACTTTCGCTTAGGTCATGATCTCGCGGTTCGTGGGTTCGAGCCCCGCTTCGGGCTCTGTGCTGACTGCCAGCTCAGAGCCTGGAGCCTGTTTCAGTCTGTGACTCCCTCTTTCTCTGACCCTCCCCTGCTCACACTGTCTCTCTCTCTCCTAGAAATAAATAAAACATTTAAAAAAAAAAAAAGAAAGAAAATATAGAAAAATGGAGACAATATGTTCATTAAATTTGATTTATAAAAACGTTAACTTTTTCAAGTTAACTTGTATGTTAAAAATTCTTCTAAAATTTATAGAACAATCATTTTGAAAACTTGAAAAAGCATTTTGAAATTTTTAATATTTTTTAACATTTATTGATTTTGAGAGAGAGAGAGAGACAGAGTGCAAGCAGGGGAGGGGACAGAGAGAGAGGGAGATACAGAATTTGAAGCAGGCTCCAGGCTCTGAGCTGTCAGTGCAGAGCCAGATGCAGGGCTTGAACCCACAAGCTGTGAGATCATGACCTGAACAGAAGTAGGACACTCAACCAACTGAGCCACCCAGGCATCTCACCGCCGACGAAAATTTGAAATTTGTGAGAAAGAATAAAATTTTCCAAAAGAGGAAGATTTTGAAAGATAAGACAAGTGTGCGTGGGTGAGTGAAAGATGCATTTGCTCAGTATTAAGGCAAACTACAAAACTGTAGAAATAAAATAATAAAACATAGAATTAAAATATACTACTAATAAAATGTAGTAATATATATAGTAATAGTATAGTAAAATATAGTAATAATAAAATATACTGTTATGTCAATAATATAGAGATTGTCCAAAAACAAGAATAAAAAAAATGAAGAAGGGCACCTGGGTGGCTCATCCCATTAAGCATCTGGCTCTTAGTGTCAGGTCAAGTCATGATCTCACAGTTGGTTAGTTCGAGCTCTGCATCAGGCTCTGTGCTGACAGTGTAGAGCCTGCTTGAGATTCTTTCTCTCCCGCTCTCTCTGTCCCTCCCCCACTTGCACTGTCTCTGTCTCTCTCCAATAAACAAACTTAAAAAAAATCAAGAAATGGACTTTTTAATATGCAGTAATTTCGTATAATATAGATGTGACATTATACATTGGTAGGGAACAAGAAAAAACTTAGATCACATTAAAAATATCCAAAGTGGATTATAAAAGACCTAAATGTAAAATTATAGAAGTAATTGCAAAAAATAAAAATAAAAACATATATTTTTAACTCTGAAGACATGAGAAAGAAACTGATGAGTATGACTTTATCAAAATTAATAATTTCTAGGGGTGCCTGGGTGGCTCAGTTGGGTAAGCCTCCGACTGCAGCTCAGGTCATGATCTCATGGTTAGTGGGTTTGAGCCCCACGTCAGGCTCTGTGCTATCAGCTAGCTCAGAGCCTGGAGCCTGTTTTGGATTCTGTGTCTCCCTCTCTCGCTGGCCCTCCCCTGATCATGCTGTCTCTCTCTCTCAGAAATAAATAAAACATTTAAAAAATTAATAATTTCTAGTGAACAAAGGTCAAAGTTACTAGATGCATGACCGATTAGAAGGCATTCACAAAACCTGAAACTGACAGGGATCAATATCTAGAATATACAAAGAACTCCTGCAAATGAACAAGAAAATGGTAAGAACCTAACAGACAAAAGAGTTTGCTCTTTATAAACAGGTTATAAATAGGCAGTTCACAGAAAAGAAAGCCTGGTCTGGTCCAAGAATAAGATGTTCAGAGAAGTTTAAGTCAAACCAATATGTTATTTTTTACATAATCAAATTAGTAAAAATTTAAGAACAAAATAGTATCACATGCTGCTGAAGGAAAATAAAATCTAAACACAGTGCTGCTGGGAGTTTAAACTGCTCTAATTCTGTAGAATAATTTCTGCAGTGAAAATAAACATATAAATGGTCAATAACTCAGTAACCCCCTCCTGGGCATATAACTTCGAAAAATAATTACATTGGTCCGTAAGGAAAAACACCCCAAGATGTTCATTGCATTATTGATTGTATTAAGGAATAAAAAGCAACCTTATCATCCATCACAAAAGGAATAGATAAAACGTGTATGGTTTACTATGCAGCAGATTTTCTCTCAAAACATGGATAAGTCTTAAAAACCTAGTGCAGAATAAAAAAATAAGAAATAGAATAAGATAGTCGACATAGCACAATTCCTGTATATAAAAATTCTTCTACACACAGACCAACAGTATGTATTTTCCAAGGATTCACAAAAAGTTTTATGGTGGGGGAAGGGAATGAACGTGATGACAGAGGATGAATATGGTATTCTTTGATGAAAGCAATAGGATTAACCCAACCTTGTGTCCCATATGTCCAAATAAGAAAATAAGATATACTATCTATTATTCAATATTGAGAAATTGTTAAATACAGAGTTAATGTGTTAAGATACTAGTCTTGGGATTTAGATGAATTGGATTCAAATTTAGTTAGACTATGTACTAACTAGATGGCCCTTATACAAGTTATTATCTTTTTATGTTTTATTTATTTCTGAGAGAGAGACAGCATGAGCAGGGGAGGGGCAGAGAGAGAGGGAGACACAGAATTCGAAATAGTCTCCAGGCTCTGAGCTGGCTGCCAGCACAGAGCCCGATGCGGGGCTCGAACCCACGAACCTTGAGATCATGACCTGAGCTAAAGTCGGACGCTTAACCCACTGAGCCACCCAGGAGCCCCCAAGTTATTTGACTTCTTGGAGCCTCCTTTGTTTCATCCATGAGTTGGGGATATTAGCAGTACTTAATATTAAATTTTCTAATGCATTAAAAGAACCAGCATGATGTCTATCTAGCACATAGGTTCATGATTGCTTTCCAGGCAGACCTGCATGTGCATAGCCACACTGATGCTGACTTTGAACTACTTCAGTGTTACCCATTCAAGAGAAACTCTGCAAAGCA